TCTAATTCAAGAGTCATTAATGTGAAATAATAATAGCTACTCTTTATTCCATATTTACAGTGCTCTGACCACTACACTGGGCCTGCATAGCCTTTATTCCAATAGTCCAACCCACAAAGTGGGTATTTTTAGAGTCCTCCTTTTACAAAAGAGAAGATTCAGATTTAGAAACTAAGAAATTGAAGATTGTAAAGGGAGATTTTATCAAGACCATAATTCAGATTTTATTGTTCTCGACCATCTACTGTGTCCCAGGCATAGGCATTTAAATAAAATAAAATTACTGCCATTTGAAAATTCTATTCAATTCTGTTACAAGTCATTGCCTGTCCTCTTATCACTGAAATATACATGTAAAGAAAATATGTTTCAATAAGAACATGCAAAATGTTTAACAGATATTTGATTTATTCTCGTTAGTTAAGTGATTTGGCGTTTTCAAATTACTTACGTTTGCTCTAAAAAAAATGAGTGGCATGAGAAATGTCATGGATTTAAATGTTAGTTATACTTAAATCTCTGCAACAATTCATTTTCCAATCATCACATATATTTATTCATGACATATTAATGAATAATTACAGTACTATATCCTCCATGACACTCTTTGCTGATAATTACAATCCTGAATTAATGATACTATTAATATTGTTTATCTTTCAACTCTAATATTCCTTCCTCTACACAAAATAAAATTGTGATTGCTAGGGTAAATATTACCGTTTGCAGGCAAATAATAAGAATTGGAAAAAAATAAATCTACAGGCAATCAGAGGCAATGGGATCCCACAGAGTTTACTTTTGCTTAAAGAATAGACTAGCGCTATTCTTCAGTTATATCCAGTTTCTTTAAAGGGAAATCTGATTATTGAAAACTTATTATAGAAAAAATATCTCACCATACTATTGTTTAATTTATTAAAAATACTCTCAAATCATGAACTTCAACTTTCTAACTAGAGTAATACAATTTCAATCTACTGGAGTTTCTGTAGATGAGAGGATTGGTGGTACATTATTCTAAAAGTAAAATCTGATTAATACTTAATTGCATCCATATTCACAGGTATTAATTAGGAGCGCTTTTCTATGAATCACAGCTATTACTGGAAAACCAGGAATCATTTTATAATTAGCATAAATGAACTGCAATTTTGAATAATCACAGATAGTGATCATGGAGTGGACCTTGTGAAAGTAATAAAATTTTTAATCCATATACTAATTTGTATGTAGACTGCATAGGCTCATTGTGGTGATATTTTTGAGCCAATTAAAGATGACATTCTTTTACAGCCACTTTGAACATGTATTTCATGTTGCTTTGTGAACAGAAACTGCTCTCAGCTGAATAGATTTTTAAAGCAATAATTAATAGATTATTTACTAGTTATGAAATTAGGTAAATCACCATCAAAAATAGAATTTTATTTCCATTCTTGTATTACTATGTGAATACTTTAATATGTCTTTCAAATGAAATATATACTTAGCTTTCAAAAAATCAATTTTGGAGGAGTCAGAGGTGCAGAACATTGGTAAAATGTTTGATATGTGTGAGAACTCAACACCACAAAAAAATAAAAATAAAAATAAATATGTAGTCATTGCTTTTCAGATAAAAGTGACTTGAGGCTATACTTCATAAAGTGGCAGGCACTTGACATGAATGTATACCATTCAAATAGTTCAAACAAGTCTAAGTGATGAATAGTTATCAGAAATTCCCAATCCACAAACAACAAAACACCCTGATACACTGATAAGTAAATAAAGCTCTATTGACAGAAAACTTTTGAGTAATTATCATTATTCATTTCTCTAAATTACTTCTAGTAATAAAATTTGGACATATCAAATTGATTTGAAAAAATTCAAAAGTTCCCACTAGATTCAAGTATAACTTTATTTTGGAAGAAAACTGGTTGAAGAAGTTCCGTATGTAATAAATAACCCAACTGAATTGACCAAAACAACTATTTAACACCTCCCCCTAAATGGGTAGAAGGACTCAGTGAAAACACATTCACGCAGATACACACAATCATATGTTTATATGACTTTGATATCATATTTAGAGTATCTATATCAAATTTAATAGTATATTTGAAATCAGAATGCAAAATAACATTCAGTAATCAATTATCTGTATTTAGAATAAAAATCCTGATCATGAAAAAGATGATTAAACCTTTTTAATATATGAATAATATGAATTATAAAAATTATAATTTCCATATTAAAAGATAATAAAACATAATATGCCTTTGATTTCTTGTGTAATAGCAAAATAAATAGGATGGCTATGTAATTATGAGTATCTTTTCATATATACTGGGATCTGTGAAGGCTTTTATATTAGGAAGCTCTAATTAAGCCTGCTATTATGTACTAAATACATGAGGGAATATCAACATAATAAAAATTAAGGTTTGGAAATAACCGAAAATATCAGTATAGTAAATTCTTCTGTAGGCAAATTTCTGAAGTAATAATTGTACCTATAACATTTATCACTCTCTTTTCTGTATACCAAATATCTCTCATTCAATCAACCACACTTATTTTGCTGTGTAGTCATTTTATATTATTAGGGAAAAAGAAAGGAAAAGAAGAATATGATATTTGTTCCTAATTCAATTAATAAATGGATGTTTGGCAATTTCCGGCGTATTCTTCTGTGATTACATTGCCTATAAATCCTATTTTGCCTCTGCTCATTCACAGAAGCAAATCCACATGATTGCCTAATTCATCTTAAGAGCTACACTAGACAGAAAATTTTGCTTTTTGGCAAACTGAATCCACTCTATATATACTATTAAAGGTTCCTGTTCCCCAAATTGTCCCCCCAGGACCCAATTTACAAGCCTGGGATTCACCCAACTCTAAGTACATTTTCCTAGACCCAAAACTTGAAATCAAAAAATAAATAAATAAAAAATAAGAAGGCCTGGGAGCAATCTATACTTTTTTTCAGTTTTAATTTATACCACTAACTTCTTTATGAGTGTCACAGAAATGCTCAGAAAGAAAGCAAAAAGCCAGCTGGAGGAGCAGTTTCAAGGTAGTAATAAAATACATCTTAAATTCGCAAACAAATTGGTTTGCTTTTTAAAAAGCATGTCACCATTCCAATCTTAAAGATTAATTTACCCATTACATTATCATTTCTCCTTAAGCAAAACAGTTAATATTGAATTCATGTGTATGATTCTACAACGTAAGTCTTATAGGGCACATTTTTTGTTGATGTTGTTTATTTTGTTTTTTCTTTTATCCCCAGTCTCTAAGAAATTGCTAACACTTGCAATTCTTGATAAATAACTTAATTGGAAAACATGGCAACTTTTGTCATTTATATATTTGTTTAAATCTCTATCATTAAAACTCATAAAAGATATTGAAGATGGTAATGGAATGTTTATGGTCAGTTTATTTAAGTGGAGGAGGCTGAAAAAAAAAAGGAGTTTTCTTAAGAAACAAAAATATACTACTCAAACACCTGGAAAGAAGAAGAAATAGGATGGAAGAAGATAACTTTGTCAATCACACCCAGACCCTTTAACCTCTCACAGTTTGCTTGCTATCACAAGGGCAACTGGAAGCCAAATGTGAACTGACCTCACTGTAAGGGTCAGGTTGCATGGTCCTTCATCATGAGAATTTTCGGACTGAAAAAATATGCCTGCAGACTTCAATTTGAGAAATATTTATTAAAGTTCGAATGAAAAATGTCTTTGAAATGTTTTCCCAATTTCTAATTTCCCCAAAATGACTAGTAGAAATGACATCAACACAAAAGTCGACAAGAGCTGATGGTTGTCATTTTAACATTAGAACAGTGTGGCACACGCTTAAGAGTCCAAGGACTCTAGCTTGAGAAACAATGGTAAAGTGGACCATGTGGGGCAAAAGGAGCCTATCTTTGAACCTTGTAATAGGAAAGTATGTAATCTGTTACAGCAGTATGGAAAATGTCCTTGCTTAACTTACAATGCTTAAGTCTCCATAAAACTAATGATTGGATTATGATGTCTTTATTCATTCAACAAATATAAAATTAACCCAATGACCTAGGCTCTGTTTTAGAAGTGAACAGGCAAATGTTCCTCCCTTATAAAAGCTGGTATTCTAGTAATACTTTACACATTGTAGTGGTTAAATACATCTTGTAAAATGAATGAATAAAAGTTATTATGCGCCTATAAGAATATAAGAAAATACAATGAAGAAAAATTATAGTGAATACTGTATATAGTTTTTAGGACTATAAAGGCAAACAACATTCTCAGTCACTAATCTGTATGTCAATTATAGCTTGTCAATTTCTATCATTTTAAAATTTCCCATTTAATAGACTAAGGAGAAAATATAAAAGGGTTACAAAGTCCTTTGGTCCAGCCAGACTTCCAATGCTTTAATCTGTCCAGAATCCACACAAAGGGGACTTGTAGAAGCCACTGCTTTGCTGAGATAGCCCATTCCATTGCTAAACCACTGTAATTGCTAAATATTTCTTCAAGTCAATTAATTATAATGCTTCCTTCAATTTATTGGCTTTTACTATCTATTGGTTTCAGTTTTCTCCTTTGGAGATCCTAACCAAGAATCCTAATCTCTCTTGACTTCTTGGATGACTGTGTAATTTCATTTGGTTTTAATGTTTTTCATCGTCTTGTTCTCCTCTGAAGACATTCCATTTAGAAAGTGTGACAAATAGAACAGAGTAGTCCACTCTACCCTTACTAGTACAGAGGAGTGCGTTACATTATGTTTCTATTAATGCATCCTAAAACTATTTAATTGGACTTGGTAGCCTCTAACACTACTGACTTAGAGGAAGCTTATGCTGATTTTTCTATTATAAAATTTTATTTTTTTGCTTATTGGATGTTTTGTGTTTTACTCAAATGTGGCCTTCGCTTTTACAGCTGCCAGTCTATTTTCTTGTATTTGACAACTTATTAAAAGTGTAGAGTACACATGTTAGCTATGACTCCAATCCTCACCTACAAATAAAATAGCAATATTTTCTTTATTTTAATTCAAGTTATCGAATAATTTTTATTAAATCAAGGCAAGGGCAAAGTACTTTAGGAAGAACTAGAAATCTCTCACTATAAGCATAACCATTCTTAAACATAAGCCAGCTATTATCCCTAAATGGGACAATCACATGCATCTATCTTTTTCAAGTACCTTGCATAAGAGATACTTCAGTAAACCTCTGAAACTAAATGTCTTCATTTCTTTCCAGACCAATCATCAGCAACTCTATCTTTCATACTTCCAGCATTTAATGGATAACTTAGCACATAACTAGAATCATGTTTGTCTAGGAAAAGACTGATGTTAACACTTTTAACCTCAATTGTGATACAAACAACTGTGGTAATATGAATTCCAAAAGATACTGGGAGTGGGAGATGAAATCCATTACCTAGTCATAAAATTGCATTTGAAGACCACTTGAATCTAGTCTTTATCCCAGGAGCTTCTAGTTCTTATATATTGTTTTGATTTTCCTTGAGTTTTCTAAAAGCATCTCCCCAGCTTTCATGCACAGGTAACAATGTATATTACATTATATTTTCACAAGGTGATTATTAGCTGCTGGAACTAATTTCTTGCATGATTTTCAGAAACCACAGCTTCATTGTTGCACTATGATGCTTTCAAAGATCCAAAGTACATGTGAAATAGTCCAAAGTACAACCTGTGGTCATTGGAACTTCAGAATAATTTCAAGAGATAAGTAAAGAAGTATTATTATTTTGATTTTATAAACTGATATAAAATGAAAGATAATATGAATGATTCTTTTCACTTTCAGGTACTTAATTTGTATCCAGACCATTACTGGAATTCTATATATCAGAGAAATAAGGTGTTTCCAAACCTCATGAAATTCATTTCAGGTAATACTCCATGTAAGTAATGACCTTTCTGTTTCCCTAAGCGTTGGAAATTATTTTTCTGATGTGTGTTTCCTTTATATTTTTTTCTTTTCTTACATAGATATTATTAACCCTTTATATTCCAAATCCATCCCAATTCAACTTCCATGTCACTATCTGATTAAAAGAAAAGGTTATTGTAAGATTTTCTAAAAGTGAAGAATTGTATACCTTTATTATACCCTCTGGCCACATTTTAAAATAGAGATCGGTTGTATATAAAAATTTTATGTTATAGGTCAATGTGCTTCTTCAAGATCAACAACCGAGTTCAGTTCATATTAACATGATCTGCTGTCCAGTATAAATGTTACAGTTCCCTGTACCTAATACTTTCCCAGTTCACATAGCCCTGAGAAAAATGTTTAATTTATAAATGAAAGTGTAGAAGAAAACTAGTTGGGTTGGAATAAGAAGATCATTCTGATTGTTTCTCATCTCATCCTCTTACCAATCATGATTCTATCCTCTCTAGGCCTTTGTTTCCTCATTCATGAAATGCACACATTAAAAAGCACTTTCTGTACCTTTTGGAGCTTTTTTTTTTTTTTCTTGATTTTTGGTACTGGGATTGAACTCAGAGGCACTTAACCACTGAGCCATGTCTGTAGCCCTTTCTATTTTTTTTATTTCAAGACAGGTTCTTGGTAAGTTGCTGAGGCTGGCTTTAAACTTGGGGTCATCCTGCCTCAGCCTCTCAAGCCACTGGGATTATAAGTATGTGCCACCATGCCTGGCACTTGAAGTTCTTTTTTAAAGATTATATACAAAATTATGATGGTAAGCATTCCACTATTGTCATGTATGTAAGAAATTTTTTAAAAAGATTATATACAAAAGGATATGAACTATAAATACACAAAGCAAGAGATCATATATTAATAATAATACTAAAGAATCAAGGCAATCTGAATTAAGACTTATTGCTACATAATAAAACTCTCACTCAGCAGGCAATTATTTTCACTCTTTCTGCTGTTTGATATAATTTATCCTAGGCTTTGTCCTACAATAATGCCTTATAAAAAGTAAAATTTAGCAAGCATATAATTGGCATATTTCTTCTGACTCCCCAGTTAATGTTCAGATAGTTTAAATGCTTACAGCAAGTGAAACCAATAATCCTGCTTTGGAAATGAGAGTTAGAGAAAATTTGAAAGCAGTTACACTAGTTACATTAGACTGGGAATCTGTCCAAATTCATATTTTGTATATTTTAACCTTTTAAGTAATTCTTTACAGAATTAAACATTTATCAACAAGTTATCAGAAGTTAATTTCACAAATGAGTGTGACTAAGCCTCAGATTTAGTTGATTAAATTAGTTAAATATTTAAAAGAAATAAATATGCCTCTAAGCAGGAAAAAAATGAGGGAGTGAATCACAGAAGAAATGAGTTTGTTGTTTTGATGTTTACAGATATTATAATATTTATTATATTTTAGTCAACATGGGTCCTCCACTTTGAAATGGCAACATAGTATAGAAAAATGGGTCTAATTTGCAATTTTTTATTTTGAAGTTCAATGAGAAGACTGCATTTATACTCCATGAGCTATATATTTTAAATATTTGCAAACTAGAATTAGAAATCAGAATATTGCTCTCTTATAATTACATTTTATTTTCCCTAATACCAAGTAAAGAGATTCTACAAGATATGCATTATTTTAAAAATTGGAAATGAGCAGAGACTGAAACATGCCAAAAGACAATCTTATCTTTTTTAGCTTTCTGATATAAAGCCATTTAAAAAAAATCAGAGTGCTTTATTAAGCTCAGAAAGCCACCACCTCAGGGAAAAACAGAACTTCTACACTAATTTTCTGCATATGCCAGTAAAGTGGAAAATTCAGATCAGGTTGTAAAGATCAATGGCACCATGTTAACATAATTCCAAAAAGTGCGTTTCAGATTTGAGTGTCATTCTAAACATGCACTAGTTCGTCTCAAAACAGAGAATTCAAGTCCAGAGTAATCCCAAGTTCTAAATTATTAGAGTGAATTGTAAAATATCATTCTTATTTTTAGAAAGTAAAGAAATACCTATCATAGAGCCTATTTTATGTGATGTCAGTGTTTAAAAATATGGTTAAAACCAGATTCTTAGTAATATTTCAAACAGTCAAATGCCATGACCTTGTCATGTTCCTGGCCATCCTGGTATAACACCTGGGTCACACACTACTGAGGATTAATAGGGAAAAACTATAAAGGGATCAGAAGTGTTGTTGTAACAAATCAAATACAGCATAAATAGTGCCTGGTAATACTGTTGATATCCTTCACAAGTTTTCTCCCAATACCTGATTGAGAATCATGATAAACACATACATATATAGTATGTATGTATGTATGTGTATATATATATATATATTAGAATAGAATAAATTGTGATAATATTATGAATACAGAGAGTGTTCAAAAAGCAGATTTATTCTCAACTGCATCTTAAAAATTTGCTATTCAATGTGCATACCAGAATTATGTGAGGATCATAAGTATCCACACCATTGTTATTGCTGTATCTGTGCCTAATGAATTTGTTAAAAAGCCAAGTGATTGAAAAAATAAAACTTAGAAAAATACCTAAAATCATAGGATATTCATTTTTCTTATTAAATCTATGATTACTTGCTTTAAAACTTCTTTAAGTGTGTAATTACATAGAATATCTTCTATAAATAGGGACTCAACTCTTGATTTAGTTCATCTTTTGGAAACACTTAAAGATGGACAAAGCTGATTATAACAGGGAACCCAAATAACCCTTCTTAGGACAGCAGGTACTTTCCATAGGTCTATATGCAGCAATTCTGTCACCTGAAACAGTCATCTTTACAACCTAAAGTACTATCCTGAGAGACATTATAGTAAAGCTTTAGTATGTCACCTTAAGTTTCTCTGTAGTATGACGTTACTAGTAAGCTTTTAAAAACCCTTTTTACTGGGGCTGAGGATATAGCTCAGTGGTAGAGTGCTTGAGTGCTTGCCTCACAGGTGTGAGTCCCTGGGTTCAGTCCTCAGCACCACATCAAAATAAACAAATAATAAATAATGATATTTTTTTAAAAAACTTTTTTTCTGCTTTTCTTTATAAGTTATTGTTATTGAAAAACTAAACAAGATGCTTCTCCTTTAACCATTCATTTGGAAACCACTTGATGATGCCTGCTCTAGATGATATTCAAGGGCACATAATTAGTAAGACACATCGCATTGTATCCAACCTTAGTGGATGCTATTCCTAAGAGCCACTTTTTGTCATTTTTGACAGTTTGGCAAACTCCTCACGCATATATATCTAAACTATCTCCTCAGAAAAGGAGTCCTTGAGGATATCAAGAAAAAAATTACCACTTATTTTTCTTACATGTTCTAGTTTGAGTGCTTTTCATTACTATCTTTATTATACCATTTAAAGTTCATTTCTTCAAAAGTCTGTTTTCACTATTCTTTGTGTTTTTAAATCATGTACAAGATCTCATTTGCATTTATATTCCAAGAAACTAAAGGGATTCTGGGCATTTAAAAGTTCTTAAGAAATGATTCATGGGGCTGGGGCGGGGGTTGTAGCTCAGTGGTAGAGCACCCGCCTTGCACGTGTGAGGCACTGGGTTCGATCCTCAGCACCACATAAAAATAAATAAAGATATTATTTTAAAAAAAGAAATGATTCATGAATGAATGCAAGAGTATTTTCAATGGGAACCAGAGGCCAATTAGCTCCCAATCATCCCTCAGGAAAGATCCATGGGCTCCTTTGATTACCATCATCTCTGTCAAACATGGATGATTCTCTCTGATGGAAGAATTTGACCATCTTCTCCTTCAAGTTCATCACCTTTCTTTTTCCTAAGTGCCCAGTGCTTTTCAGTAAGCTTCAGATTCAGTGACAATAAATACATCTTTTCCCAATCCCTATGGTTTGTAAAGAAAGGCCTTTGCTTTTCTTTGAGTCTAAGAATCTAAACTGTCAGCAAGGTCATAGCCTATATAGCAGCATGATCCATTTACTTTCTGAAGAGTAAGGTATCTTTGGTTTTTGATT